CGGCGCGCGCGGGGGCGCCGCCCGCGTGCCGGGACATCCGCGTGCGAGCGGCGCGGCGCGCGGCCCCCGTGCAACAGCAGCAGCAACAACAACGTGCAACAACAAACAACGTGCAACCCCGGCGGGGCGGCCTTGCACGAAGCCTGTGTCTTCCCGTGGCTGCCCGTGCAAGGTGGGGGGGGGGCTGGTGTGTGTGTGTGTGTGTGTGTGTTTGTTTGCGGGATGGCACCGGCAAACGCAGCCCCCGGCGCCGGCATCGCCCCTTGCACGCTTGCAGGAAGCGGGGGGGGGTATGTGGGGGGGTGGTTTTTGCACACCTCGGCCCCTCGCAAAGTTGTTTTTAGCGGGTGCTGCTTGCTCGGAAAAATCCAAAACGGCGCCGGTCCTTGTGCATGTCTCCGCCGTACAGGCAGGTGAAGCCCCGTGGCACCCCCTCCCCGGGGGCTGAGCCCACGCACGAGTGGGCTGGGGGTTCCTGGGAACCGGGTTTGCCCAGCGGCGGGGAGGGCAACCGGCCTCGGGGGTCGCTGGTGCTGCGGGGAGGGGGAAGAGAAGATAGGGGGCAAAACGCGTGGAAAGCGAGGGAATGCCTGAAACGCTGCGTGGGCCGTGACCCCGGCCGGGCTGCGGGCAGGTACCCCTCTTCTTGTCTGACTGCGACTTTTCCAGGTGCAGGTGTTGGATCCCGGAGCCAGGACGGTTGCAGCCGCCGCCGCCGCTGCGCCCCGCAGGACAGCGCTCCGCAGTAAGCACCGGCGGTACCCGTGGGCAGGACGGTGTTGCAGCGGTGGCATTCTGGACAAACGTCTCTCCCGTTTCCTCTGTGCCCCCCTTGCCTGTGCCTGAACCTTCTTCGTTCTGTTCCTTGTTCCCAAATCCTCCCTTCGGCTCCCTCCTTCCTGCTCTGTCACTCTGGATCACCGATCTCTATCCGCTCTCCCCCCCCGTCCCACCGTGAGCCCGCTGCCCCCAGCGGGGTCTGCCCTTTCCCTAGCCCGCTCCCCTTCTCCTGGCAGCCCCCGTCTCAGCCTTTGCAGCTTTTTGGGAAAAAAAGCTCTCGGCCACCCCAGGCATCACCGCCTTCCCCAGGAGGTGCCCATTTCCATCAGGAGGGGACGTCCCGGCAGCAAAAGTCGCCTCGTTAGTGCCATTAAGCCTTGCACGCGTACCTGCTGCCAGGGCACCTTGCACTGGTGCTGACCTGGGCATCCATCACGCGTTCTCAGTGCCCTCGTACTAATCTCGCTGTAATCGCGGCCGTCCCGGACTCGATTTCCACAGTCTTTGACAGCAGATTATATATTACCGTGCCCATGTGGTCCCACAGCAAACAATTCGGGACGGAGCAGCCGGGGTCACTGTGACGGCTGGTTACCAGTGCGACAGGGCGTTTGCTGGGCGAGCTGGAACCGGATCGGTGAACCGAGACGGAGCCTCAGCCCTGCACCAGCTCTTGTGTTCTCCTGCGCCGGAGCTCTTCTGCCTGGAAAAAGCAGATGGGAGGACTGAGACCTGCTAAAAGTAACCCGGCCTGAGCAGAGGTGTTCCCTGCAGAGCCCCAAACCCGACGTGGTTTGCACTTTTTGGGGTGCGCTGTATGTCACCTGATGCTTCGGGGATGGGCAGGTTCTTTTAAGGATCCGTTGTGGAAGGAGAACTGGCCACAGGGTTGTCGTTGCAACGAGAGCTTTATTATTATATAAAGATTTTAGCAAGCAGAGTAGCTTATCCTTACACAGAATTCCTAGCAATTACCATAGCTTTCCTATTACTCCTATTTCCCTGCTCCCTGAGAGCTAGTTCTCCGATTTGGGGACGCCCAGGTCACCGAGCCAGGCTCTGATAAGAAGACGGGCACCAGCCGAGGAGCCGGGGGGTTGTGGAGCCACTCGGCTCTCGAGGGAGACGTACTGCAACACCGGCCATCCAGGCTGCAGCCACGTTTGTCCCTGCTGCTGGATTCCTTTCCCATATCCCAAAGAGCTAATTGATCCACCCACTTAGTTAATTGATTTATAGCTATTAGAGACTATAATTAACCGACCAGCTGGAAAGCTCTGTGTTATCTGCCCGGTGGGAGCAGCGTTGAGAAGCAGCCAGCTCCGATGGGCCGCGGGCTGCCCTGTCCCCACAAACAGCACCGCTCGTTTGCTGTCTTTGAAGGATTTTACTGCACCTCAGACTTTGGGCTTTGCCTTTTATCTCTTCCTTTGCTAACACTTGGCGTCAGTGAGCTCACCCCGAGCCTCCCTGTTTTCCCTTATCTCCTCCCTTCTTCCTGCAAGGTCACAAACTTGTGCTCCATGTCGGTGCAGGAGTTTGCATTGCTGGGCAGACGAGTTCGAACCGGCTTGCTATCAAAGCATTCCCAGGCCCCAGCAAAACCTCCCACTGCTGTCAGACCCTGACACAACGCAGATGTTCCTTAAGCATCGGGAAGGTGATCCAGCTCATCGCGGGGCTGAGCGAGATGTCCGTACCTTGTACTGGTGCATCTGGCCGGTGCTAACGAACTCCTGGGCGTGCTGTTCCCCATGGGAACGCAGGGAAATAGGGAGGAGGAGACGCTGTAGGTGCCTGGTAGAGGTGCCCAGTGCCTGGCTGCCCCAGGAGGTGATACGTCGGACCGGCAGCGGGCTCGGGAAACCCTCCGAGCCGCAGCGGGCTCTTGTCCGTGGGGCTGCTGGGAGGTAGCGATGCTGCGAGCAGGGATCAGACCCCTCTGCGGTGCTAGAGGGTGAACGGACACGGGCAGCTTCAGCCGCATGTCGACCCGGAGCAGCTCTCGGTGAACCCGCTGGCACTGAGCCGCAGCCTCCCGGCTGCCCCGGTGCTGGAACCAGCCGTGCCCGGTGAGCGGGGCTGCCCCTGCGGGGAGCGGGGTGCTGGGCACGCCGCTCCTCGGCCTCCCGGCGGCGGCAAAGGTGGGTGCGATGGCAGCGTCCCTGCCAGGGTCACCGCGCTCTGCAGACCCTCTCGCCCTTCTCCTTCCCCTCCTCGCCCCTGCAGGCTGTGCTGTAGCCCCGGGGGGTCCTGCTCCCCCAAATCCCCTGGCACAAGGCTGGGAGCATCTCGGGGACCATGTGGCCGATCCAGGTTTTGCTGGAGCTGGATAGTGGCAGGCACTGGGCATGTGGGGCTGCATGGATGCTCCGTGCCCTGGGGGTGCAGGGTTCCCCCTTGCACGGGTGCTCCGTGCCCTGGGGGTGCAAGGTCCCCCCTCCTTGCACTGTGGAGCCGCAGAGGCAGGGACGGAGCAGGAACAGGGACTGCACCCAGAGGCTGATGCAGCACAGAGTTTGCATCAAGTTCTGCTTTAAACCAGGTTTGCTGAGGGATTTTAAATAACCGGAGGAATTTGGCTCTCCCTGGTTATCAGAGGCCGATTTGAGAAGAGGTGCTGCCTGGGGTCTTTGCAGCCCTGGGGAAATGAGGGGGGGTCTGTGGGCCCCGTCTGTGCTTCCCCTGTTCTTCTCAGCAGCTGAAATCGGTGTAAGGAGACGGTCTGCAGACAGGAGTAAAAGCTGCTGGAGGGCATCGCAGCTTGGCTTTCAGGCAAGGGAAATCAAGTGCTCAGGAGGGGCTCCAGGGGAGCTCCCTGGGGGGTAATTAGCCCCTGATTGCCGTCAGCAACCGCTCGTTATTGGCGTGCATTCAGTAAACAGGAGGAGCGGGGGGGGGGATCCGGCAGTCCCAGGGGTGAGGGGCTGCAGGGAGCTGGGTAGGGGTGCAGGGGTCTCTATCCGAAGCTCCTTGGTGTTTCATCTCTCCGGGCAGGAGAGCTGTTTTCCAGAGCCACCTGGGACTGATCTGCCAGGTAAAACCTCCGTTTGGGGACAAAAGTGTTATTTTCTGTCTTTTACTCTCGGTGCTGCCCTGGGGTGCTCCCTGCAGATCGGTGAGACAAAGCCTGGTGCCTGTGCTGCCATTAACTCCTGCCAGCCTGGGTCGAGCCTGCGAGTGTTAACTGGTGGCTCTGGGAGCCCAGTGCCCTGGCCGGACTGGGGTCAGCAGGTTTCGGGTCAGAGCATCCCCTGCTCCCTGGGCTGGTGGCCCTTGCAAAAAACCCTGAGCTCTGACCCACGCAGCCACTGCAGCCCAGCAGTGAGGAAGCCACCGAGGCTTCCCTGGGCAATGCCCCTTTGTACCCCCAGGGTTTGAGCCCCCTCACCCTTACGGAGAGAGCCCAAACTGTGCCGGGCCGTCCCATGGGAGCAGCAAGGGACAAGCTGGAGCGGGGCTTGCACCCCACCGCAGTGCCAGGCTGGCTGGGGGGCACCCGGCGGGCAGCTTGTCCCTGCTCTGGCACCGGGGAGGGGGGAACGGCTCGGCCAGGATCCCGTGGGACAATAGCGGGGTGGTGCCGTGGGTGCTGTGACCTGTGGAGTTTGCAACAGGGCGATTGAAACGTGGCTGCGAGCAAGCGGACGCTGGGACGGGCAAGGGGAGCCACTTCGGGCAGGGTGCGTGGGTGCCCCGTGCCAGGGGAGCAGCCCCGGATTGCCAGGACCCGTGTCCCCTCCTGGGACGGGGAGCGGGTCCGTGTGGCTCCCAGTTCGCCCATCTCCTGCGTGTCCTCGCCGGCGGTGATGCCGTGTGGCTCTGGAGGTGACCCAGTACTCGGGGCTCAGCGGAGCCGGGGGCACCTGACCGGCAGTGACGTCCTGTGGGATGTGTTTTCACCCATGCTTCTCCTTTTTGCAGCTGGGTGCTGACCCTCCCGGGACCTTCTGCTCGCTGGGACCGGGGCCAGGACGAGCTTTTGGCAAGATGTTCTCACCGGTGGGCTGCAGGAGGGAATTCCTGGGCTGCTCCAGGGAGGTAGGTGGTTTTGCAACCTTCCTGCTGCCACGGAGCTGGGGCTGCCAGCGTGGTTGGGAGCAGAGGAGCTTTGTGGGGCAAGATGGGTGCTTGCTGCTCCATCGCTCGAGATGCTGAGGAGCCAGGAGAGCATCGCTGCATTATGGGGAAGAATTAGGAATCATCTGGGACCTCAGCCAGGGGAGAAGGGCGGATGAGCTCCTGGCTCCCTGTCCCTGCTCAGCATCCAGCCAGTGCAAGGGCGAAGGTGAGGGTCTCATCCTGCTTTCATCTTGCTGTGCCTGCTCTGCAGCCCGGTCCATGGCAGACTGGACCACCACCGTCCCACGCTCACGGCCCTCAGGACGTCTGGGACAAGCCGCCCTGGGAGCACCAGCACAGGAGAGGCAGGGGCAGATGGTGCCCGGTAAGGGGACAGGGGCCAGGGCGAGCAGCGAGGGGAGACGGTGCTGTCGGGTTTTACCTACACGTCTGGGGTGGCCAAAGCTGGGCGTTCCCCCAGGAGCAGGAGAGGCAGAAAGAGCTGAGGGCTGTGGCGGGGAGGGGGAACAGCAGCAAAACCAAAACACCCCAGCGAGCTGCCGTCCTCACCAGCAACCATTTGCCATTGCAGCGCCGTCTGTGGGACCCCAGACCCTTCCCTGGCCCTGCCGACTTCCATGGGAACGAGGAGGGCAGATGGGCACCCCACGACTGTCCCCCATCACCCTCTTGGGATGACAGAGAAGACAGAGGAGGACCTGAGGACTTCTTCGGAGAGGGCTGGCACCGGGTGAGGCGGCAGATGGGCCGGGGGGGGCGGCAGCTGTGTGGCTACCCCCAGTGTGCCACCATCCTCACCGGCAGCGATTTGCTATTGCAGCCTGGTCCCTGGGACCCCAGACCCTTCCCTGGCCCTGCTGACTTCCATGGGAATGAGGAGGACAGGAGATGGGCAACGCACAACCATGCCCCGCCACCCCCTTGGGATGACAGAGAAGACAACCAAGGACCTGAGGACTATTTTGGAGAGGACTGGGACCAGGTGAGGGGGGAGATGGGCTGAGGGGGTGGCAGCTGTATGGCTATGCACAGTGTGCCACCATCCTCGCTGGCAATGATTTGCCATTGTAGCCCGGTCCGTGGGACCCCGGACACTTCCCTGGCCCGGCTGACTTCCATGGGAACGAGGAGGATAGGAGATGGGCACCCCATGACCGTCACCCACCACCCCATTGGAATGACAGGGAAGACAACCAAGGACCTGAGGACTGCTTCGGAGAGGGCTGGCACTGGGTGAGGGGCTGGTGGGCTGGGAGGCTGGCAGCGGCCGTGGGACCAAGGGCAGGGAGCGGGTGAAATGAGGCAGGGGCCGTTCACTGCCCTGGTGACAAGGACAGTGCATGGGGACAGGTTTCTCTGCGCGGCACTGGGAGCAACGGCAGCCCGGCTTCTCTGCTTTGCAGTTACAGCATCCCCTGTCCTGCTCTGTGTCTAAACCCACCCCTTTCCCCGCAGGAGCCGTGGTCTGGCCCCAGCTGCTCTGCCTGGTCTGAATTTCCCGGCGAGGAACAACACCCACCGTGCCCCCCTGCCAGCGTGCCAGGGTGGGTGGCCGTGCTGAGGGTGGGGGGACCGTGCAGCCGTGGGGTGGTGAGCAGGGGTGCTGGGACCACGCTCTGCTCCAGTGCACAGCCAAAGGGGGATGCAGTGCTGAAGCTGGCCCTGTTCAGGGTGTGTGGGGGGGTTGCACCAGAGACCCCTTCCAGCCTAAGTCCCCGCCCTGGGGCTGCCTTTGCTCCCGCAGGGAGCGAGGCGGCTTTCAGGATGGCTGCCCGTCCTGGGGCTATCATGGGCTGGGTGTGAAACGCAGCAAACGCCTTCGCCGTGGCCACCGAGAGTTAACCTTGGTCCAGCGCCTTCCGTGTTCCTGGCCCTCCAGAGGTTTGTGCCAACGCTGGACGATGCAAGGGGTCCCACGCCACTGTGCTCGTGCTCGCCAGCATCTCCTTGGTGCTCGCCAGCATCTCCTCAGGCAGAGCGAGGAGTCGCTCCCATTATGTTTCTCGCTCTGCAGGGAATCGGCCATTCTGCAAGTCCTTTCGTTCCCTCCCAGGGACAAGCCAGCCAGGGGTCAAAGAGCAGCAGCGCTCTTCTTCTCCCCAGTCGCTTATGTCCTGCAAAGGTGGTGTGCTAAGCGGGAAGCAGACGGCTCAGGTTGTGGATTTTTACCCCCCCCGCCCCAGCACCCAGCAGCGACTCCAGTTTGCACGGTCTGAGCCCTGCGTGGTTGCCGCCATGCCCCTAACCAGCGTGGTTTCCCCCAGGGCCCACCGGCAGCGAGCAAGAAGGTCCCGGAGCCCCCCAGACCGGCCAGCAGCCCTCAGAAGAGCCCGGCCATTGATTCCCGGGCTGCGACAGAGGCTGCAGAGCCAGAGCAGGCAGCAGAAGCGACGTCGGTAGGAGAGCACCACTCTCCTGGGGAAAGGCAGGGATGCTCGCACCCCTAGAGGTGCCTGGCTCAGGGGGTCTCTTCAGCCAGTGTAACGTCTTCCTTCTCTCTTTCATCCAGCCCTTTCGCTCTTCATCTTGCTGTCTCTTTGTCAGGCACGGAAGTTTTTCTGACTCTTCTCCCAGGCTGCAAAGCCCTGTGGTTTCCTTTGGGTTTTAGCACCCCGTCAGTCCCGTCCCCCAGCTTATCTCCCCGGGACAGACACGTGTCCTGGCCTCACATCATTGCATGTCCCCAGGTCGAGCCAGGAGCCGGGCAGAAACCTGCAGGCAGCCACAGCCAAGTGGAAACAGCTTTGGAAACAGAGCCAGCCCTGCCGGAGAGGAGCCCTGCTGGGACGGGGGAGCAGCTTGAGGTATGAATTAAGGCATCTCCTCTTCCCACCTAAAAGCAGTACCAAGGGGGAGGTGGGAGCTTGCAGTCCCCTTTGCAAGCCCCTTTTTCCCCTTGCCATGGACTCTGCAATGCAACTGTAATGCTTTGCACAGGTAGAGCCGTGCAGCCCAAGTGTCCCTAAGGCTGGTGCAGGTGGTGGGTCACATCCCCACAGTCCAACAGCCCCTCCGGAGCCTGCCGAGAAGGTCCACGCCACGGCCGGCTCCGCTGGAGAGGCGGGTGCTGAGCTCTGCCCGTGCTCCGGGGGAGAGCAGCATCTGCAGAATGGAGCTGAAGAAGCCAAGGGAGAAGCTGCCTGCGATGGGGTGGGTCTCGGCGCACGGTGGGCAGCTCCGCAGTGTGTCCCCCCGCCCCGGGTGAGAGCCCATCGAGGCCACTGCTGCGGGCAGGGGATGTGCTGGCGGCTGCCTTCCTCCCCCAGCCACTTTCTCTCCCGCAGCTTCTCGGTGTCCTTCAGCCATCCGACAACTCACAGGTCCTGCCGGGAGCTACCGCGGAGCCTGACGCACAGCCCAGCCAGGCTTGCTCCGATATCTGTGCTGCGCCAGAGACCTCACCAGGGACCCAGCACCCTCCTGGGTCCGGTGAGACGGAACCGGTACGGGGTTGGGGAGCCTCTGCTCCCCCATGCTCACCCTGAGGCATCCCCGGGTCCCCACGTGGGGCAGGTGCCGTGGGCTTGAGGGATACTGCCGTAGCCCAGGAACAGCCGAGTGGGACCGCTCTGGCCTCCCCGTTTGCAGGATTACGAGCTGGGGTTAAAGTGCTGCTTTGTCTGGAGGCAGAGCCCGTGTCAGCCCTGGTGCCAGCTGTGCCGGAGATGCCGATAAATGGGAGACAGCTGGGAGAAAGGCCAAAAAATAACTAGAGGCTTGAGAGCGTGCTGGAGCGTGAACGACCCCGGGACTCAAGCTTTAACGAAGGAAATGAGAGCATTGCAGAGCAGCTTAATTACTGCCTAATGGGGAAGAGAAATCTGCTATCGTGGCTCTCGGCGGCGATGCTGCCGGGGCTGGGGCAGAGGGGGGAGCTGGGGGCAGCTCTTGCACCCGAGGGAAGGGTGGCAAACCAGCACCCCAGGGACCCAAGGTCCCAGCGGGTCCCCCCACAGGGTGACCAGTCCTTGGCTAGTAATCGGTACTGGCAGCCCCAGTTTGGCCTCAACCTTGCCCAGTCCCTCTCTCCTTCAAAGCGTCTGACCCTTCCTCGCCTTTTCCACCACAGGCTGCAGACAGCCGGCACCAGCTCTGCTCCACGCTCCCGACACCCTCCCCGGCCAGCACGGACCTCCGCTCCGCTGCCGTCCTCGCCAGGAAGGAGGAGATCGAGCTGGTGAGTCCCGGTGGCCCCTGGCTTTGGTGCATGGAAGTCTGGGACCAGCTGCAGGGTGGGGGGGCTCACCCAAGGACCCTTTGAACCAGGGAGGAGAAGCAATGCCGGGTGATGGGGGACGTGAATTTGGCATTTTTGGGGTCATGGGGGAGAAACCCCTCCTGGTGGTGGTGGTTGCAGGGGAAGGTGCTTGTGGGCAAGAAGGGGTTTGCAGGGGCTCAGATACTGGTGGGGGGGTTCATGGACCAGCACCGAGGGAAAAGATATCCCTGGGGGGGGAGTGCATGCTGCTGGTGGAGAGGTTTTGGGGTGCCCCATGCTGACTCCATGCTGCTCCCCTGCAGTCGTACCAGCAGTTCAGCCTGACCATCGCGGTGGTGGCCACAATGCTGCTGCAGAAGGAGCCCTCCATGGAGGCGGCGCTGGGGCTGGCGCTGAGAGCCAACCTCCGCCAGGGCCGGATCCATCACCTCCAGGAGCTGGAGGATTTCATCGACAGCTATGACTCGGCCACCCTCAGCCGCTGAGGGGGGGGCCGGGATGAGCGGACGGACACCCCCTCTCACCACCTGGGGTTAGAGGGGGGTGATGGGGGGGCTGTGCCCGTGCAGCGGGGTGCTCGTGATGGGGCCGAGCCCTCGGGTCGGGGCGATACGGACACGTTGGCGCAGTCTTGCCATCTCTTTTGGGAATGGAGGAGGAGGGGGCTGCTTAGTTTTAGCCCTGCCCAGACCTGTTTGTGCAGCAAAAGGGGGAGCTGGTTTTACTGGAGGGTGATGGGAGGGACAGCGGATGTGGGGAGCTCCCCGGGTCCTCGCTCCATTCCTGGTTCACAGGGATGTACCTCGAAACCCTGGGGTTTGTTCTTGGTTTTAAATCTAAAAATAAACCAGCTGTGATGTATGTACCCCTCGCTCTGCTGTTGTTCTGGTCCCGCTCTCCTGGGGCTGGTGAGGGAGGGGTCCCGCAGTGAACCCACTGTGGGCGACCCCTCCAGCTGTGGCAGAGGGCAGTGGCCACCCCTGGGTCTCATGTTCTTCTGGCCACAATGACCCTGGGACGGGGAGGAATGGGACAGACACATGGTGGGTCTCCTGTATTCAGATTTCAGCCAAACTTTATTTGGAGCATTGTCAGCAGCAGCAGCAGAGCTGCCCCCCTGGTCCCCTCCCCACGGTGGCAGCAGGATACGGTGTCACCAGGGATGGAGAGCATCTGGCAGCGGTGCTCATCCTCCAAGGAGGTGTCCCAGGGAAGGATCCGACCCTGATGGCCAGCACCCCTCCTGTCCCCGTGGGTCCCCAGCAGCAGCCTTGCAGTGGGACGATGCAGGCAGCTGCCCTTGTCTTAAGCACCCAGCCACCCTCCCCTGCGTGCGGCTGCTCTCCGGGGCTGCTGCCTTGTCTGAGATGGGAGCCCTGGTGCAGGTTGCCGGCTCTCTGCTCCCTACCTGCTTTACCTGTTCCTAATTGTGGGAGAGGCTGGCAGGAATTGCAGGCTGTGCTTTGCCAGCAGCCGCCGGGGGGGAAGGATCCCAGCGGCTTCTCCCCACCAGCCTTGGGCTGTGTCCAAAACGCACTTGGAACGTGTTGAGACCATGGCAGGGGCTGGCAGGACGGCGTTGCTGGTCGAGGACCCCCCAGTCCCTGCTGCTAGGACACGCTGCAGTGCTTGCTGCTGCCCCGTGGCTTTGCCGTCCTGCCCTCAGCCCTCCCCAGGGGCTCCCTGCCCAGGGAACTCATCCCGGGCTTGGGGATGGGCTTCCCGAAGAAGAAACCCTCTTCCTCCGAGTCTGAGTCCGAAGATGAAGAGCAGGTGGGACACCAGGAGTCGTCCTCCTCCGTGATGTCCTGCAGGTCGATGTCCTCTGGCCGTGGACTGTGTCGAGCAGGGGATGTGCCCGCGCGGGAGTGTGGGTTTCCATTGCCTGTGGGTGTTCGGGGCTCAGAGCCCCCTGAAACCAGGTGGCCCAAGGCTCCAGGCTCATTAGGACCCTCTGCACTGGGCTGGGGGGCAGAGGGGTGGCCCGCTGGTGATCCCAGCATCGCTGTGTGCACAGCATCCCTGCTCCGCTCCTTAGCAGCTGCTCCGTGGTCCTCCAGGCTCCTGAATGCAGGATGTACAGGGGCCTGATCCAAACAAGCCTCTGGAAGAAGGAAAGCAAGGATGGGTGAGGAAGGGGAAGGCTGAGCCTGCCCTTTTTGCAGCGAGGTCTGCCTCGGGATGCAGCAAAGTGAGCAAACCCCAGCTGCCAGCACTCGCCCTCCTGCGGGAGGTGGGCTGGGGGCTCATCGCCGCTGCTCCAGCCCTGCGTTGGGCTGCACCTGTGCGACGTACCCCATAAAGTACCCAGGGGCTAAGCAGAGCCTGGTTTTGCTCCCAGTCCCCTCCTGCCACGTAGCAAACGGAGCACTAGGATCCCTACCTGCCCCTTCCACCCTCTGCCTGCAGCCCCCGGCCACTGAAGTGCTGCCCGTCCCCGGCGTGGTCCTGCTGGCAGGGCTGGTTCGGGAGAGGGGCGTCGAATCGGGGGACGGAGCCGACGCAAAAGCCGAGTCGGAAGAGTCGGAGGTAGTGGAGGATGCATCCCGCCCCAGGCTGCAGGTCTCGGAGCAGAAGAGCCGGCCGCGGCGGGAGGTGAGGGGTTGCCCACGCAGCGGCTTTCGGCAGAGGCTGCAGCAGAAGCAGGCGGCTCGGGCATGCCAGTGGAGCCCTTGGTGGGTGGCCTCCTCGCTGTCGGCACCTGAGGGGCAACCGCCGGTGAGAAGGAGGCTCTTCCCTCAGCCGTGTGCCAAAAACCATCCTCCGCACCGAGCCGAGCCGCGGGGCTCTGGCTCTGCAACCCTCCCAGCCCACGTCCCGCCTGCCTGGGCAGAGAAAACCCCGCTGCACCCTGCCCAGGGTTGAGGGGAGGGATGGGGGGGACTGTACCGATGGGGTCCCCGCAGGCCTGGCACGGTTCAGCGAAGAGGCTCTCGAAGCAGCCGCGGCAGCAGGGCCGGCCGCTCTTCATCACGTAGCGCTGCCCGCAGAGGGGCACGTCGCATTCCAGGCAGCAGAAGTGGTCCAGGTGCCAGCGCCGGCCCTCTGCCTCGATGCACTCCTCCATGAAGATCAGCTGTGGGGGGAGAAACAAGCCATCCTCTAAGCATCCCGCTAGCCAACTCGTAGCCTGGAGGATGCTTTGCTGTGCCAAGGAGAGAGGAGGAACCGCCATGCCTCGGCGTGGGCTGTCTGCAAGGGTTAGGAAGGAACCTTTCCTCATGTCCACCAGTGGCTCTTGCTGCGTTTGCAGCCCCTGGCCAAGCTCAGGAGCTTTTAACAACAGCAAAAGGGAGGTAAAAGCCTCTCCCCTGCCCAGCACCCACCTGGTCGCAGGAGGCGCAGCGGGGTCGGAAGAGCTCGGCGTGGTGCCGGCCGCAGTAGATCCTCCCGTCCTGCTGGAAGTAGATGAGGTCCACCAGGGGCTGGTGGCAGAAGTGGCAGGAGAAGCAGGACGGGTGCCAAAACTGGTTCCCCAGCCGAGACGCTGAAATCCCTGGGTCCCCTTTGTTCAGCCTCCTGCCACACTGCAAGGCAGAGGGACGCGGGGTTGGGGGTCAGGCTGGCTTTTGGGGATGGGTCCCCCACTGGGAAATGGGTGCTGCCTCACCTTCTTGCAGGGACAGCCATGGCAGGGACCCGGCACGGGACATGCCAGCCCCTGTCCCAGTGCCTCCCGTCTCCGTCGGGCGCTGAACGCTCGTAGCTGCTTCCTCTCCTCCTCCGCGAGGTCAGGGCAGTACCGCTCCTGCACGGGGAGGCGGAGGTGAGGGGATGCACGGTGGGTGAAGCCCCAGGGTGGGCAGCACCCAACAAATGCGTGTCTTACATCGCAGTCCTGAGGAGGCAGCTGCTGCAGGAGGGCTCTGGCACGGAGCTGGATCTTGTCGGCGGGAGAGGCAGGCTGCGGCGAGCGGGTGCCGAAGCACAGCGGGACCTTGGGATGTCGTGCGGGACAGAGAAACGTCAAGCAGATTTTTAGGGGGATTAAGCTGCAGTGCTCGAGGCTGCTAAAACGTATGTTTTATGCTGGGGCTGGGGATGCTCTGCTGCTGGTACCACCACCCGTGGCTGGCACCTGCAGGGCTGGGGGAGACTGGGGAGCAAAGGGAGCCCAGGGGGAGAGCCAGGGTGCTGCCCACCTCGGGGGGTGCGGGGTCCGCGGGGGGCTCCAGGTACTCTTCCAGGGCACAGCCGGAGTCACTGTCGGACGAGGCTGGCGGGAGGCTGGTGGCAGTGCCGCAGGGGGGAGGCTCATCTCGCTGGGGCCATGCAGGGCTCGGCAGGGACATGAGCTGGGGAGAGAGGATCAGAGCTGGTGAGATCCTCATCGAGGCAGGGAGCGGGGATCCATTGCTGGGACGTGTATCATCCCGCCTGCCCAGCGTGGACCTGTCTCCACGTGGCAGCAGGACAAGCAGCCCCTCGTCCCGGGGAGGGACCCCGGGGCACGTCCAGCTGGGATGATGCTCAGCGCAACCACAACATCGCGACCCTTGGCTGAACCACTGCAGAAGTCCAAGGGGTTTTGGGGGCTTCTCCTTTCTCTGCAGGGGTTATAAGCAAACCCACACCGAAGGCAAGGGTGCTTGGCAGGGCTGGGGCTTTGTCTGCTGAGCAGGAGGCGCTGACGGGACAGTGATGGGTTGAAGCCAGGCAGGGAAGACCCCGGGTGTCCGTGCTCAAGCTGGAAGAGACTTTGGGAAATGGCACCAGCCGTTCGCTCACCCACAGCAGGAGATTTTCCCTGGCTGCCACCAGTCCTTTGCTCGTACGGCTAATCCCTGGTCTAGTGGCCCGTCCCTGAGCAGGGCAGAGGGAGGAGACCGAGGTCTAGCCCAATTCAGTGGAAAATAATTTATTCCCCTTGGGCTGCTATTGTTCTGCCCCGAGTGGCTGTTCCTGCCCGGGCAGCCGGCTCGCCCAGCCGCCACCACCTCGCCTGGCTAATGGTTACGCAGTGGAAACCCATCCGGTCCCGTCCCCTCCTCCCCACGCCGCGCTTTTCACTGCTCGCTTCCTTCCTGGCTTGGCTTTCCAAAACAAAGACGAGGTGGCGATGCGGTGGCTCCTGGGGCTCCCTGGACGCTGGCCCGGAGCCTGACGCCCTCTGCCCATGCTTCCTGCCCCGGCGTGGGGACCGAGGGTGGGACGTGGGTGGGATGGAGCTGAGCCGCTGCTCCGGGGGCAAGTCCCAGTCCTGTGACCAAACAGCCCCAGGGCACCCCTGGATTCACCCCATGCAATGCCCACCATGGATTGATCAACTGCTCTGGAAAGTGTTTTATACAGCAAGCGGCTTGGCACGGGCTCAGGCTAAGGGTTGAGAGGTGGTAAGCCCCAGGCCACGCACTTAGGTCCTCCTTCATCACTGCCACCATGAGGACCAGTGAACTCCTCTGCACTGGGATGGTATTTCTGCACATCTGGTTTATCCCCCCCTGCCCCTGCTGTCAGAGGGCCATCCTGGCCAGCACCAGCAGCCGCATCCCCATTGCTCCCACTAAACAGCTTCAACACTCCCAGCTCAGCCCCTGTTCCCAGTGAGCTCCCTCCACCACAGCTGCCCCTTGCTATGTAGCATCTTGGGGTGCTGGGATGTTGCACCCAAAGGTGGCCAGCTCTGGAGCTGGGAGAGGGTGGGATAAGCCCAGGCAGCTCAGGTTTCCCTGCCATGCACCTGGGTCAATGATTAACACTGCAGATGGGCTAATCAGCAGGATAAAACAAAAGGGCTGCTTACTCTTTCCTGGGGTTTGGGGTCTGCCAGCCCTGGGATTAGCCCAGAAAGACTGCAGGGCTGGTTGAATGGTGTTGTTCAAAGCTGTGCTCAGTTCTGGAAGGGATAGGGATGAAATAATCTGACTCAACTCTGTGCATTTGCAGCCCAAAGAGAGCCCTCACCTTGTTGACTTGGTGAAGGACCGCTGTACCACCGCTGGTGTTGGGACACTAAACAGTCTCAGCTCTACGGCTGTGCAGGAGGATTGTGTGTGTCCCTGGGGATGCTGAATGGGGATCTCCGTGGGGTCAGTGTCTGGCCCCAGCTCTGCTCCTGCCTTGTTTGGGTAACACATGTCTCTGCTTTTCCCTCCCCGTGGGAGGCGAATGGCAGTCCCAGGCTGTGCTTGGCTTATTAAGCCTCCAAGCTGCATTTGTCTAATCTGTTGGGGCTTTGCTGTAATTAGACCCCTGCGATGGTCCGCAGACTCAGCAGAGCTGGTGGTGCCTGCGTGGCCGCAGTCCCGTAGCAGGGTACACAGGGCACCTCGTCCCAGGGCTGGCAGCAGGGAGCCCGGTGGGGTGATGCTGGGGGAGAGCAGAGAGGGCAGGGTTCCTGGTTGCTATGAATCCATGGGGCTGAACTGGAGAGCCCAGCCCAGCCCGGTTTGATGTGATTACACCGGCTGGCAGCCGTCTGGGCTGTAGACAAGTCCCTGTAATTAGCCCCAGACAGTGACAGTGGTATGCACCTTCTATGCTAAGGAGCCAGGCAGCCCTAACAGGTCCGTCTCCTCTGCTCCCTCTCCCTGTCCCCTCTTCCTTCCTGCCCTCCTCACCACCTCCAGGCAGTCCTGCTATTGCTCCTCCCCGCTGGCCTGCAAAAGGGATACAGGGATGCTCCCCGCCTGCCCCTGCCATCTCCCCCTGACGCCTGGTCCAGGCTCTCCTGTCCCTGTTTTTGAGGCAGGAGGGTGCTTTGGGGAGCCGCTCCTCCCTGCCAGCGCAGACCCGAGCGCTGGATGTTCGTCCCCCCAGAAGGGACGTGCGAGGGACCAGTCGGGCAGGCTGAGTGCCACTGGCTGTCATTTGCCTTTGCTTTAAAAGCCTCTCGTCCTGCCTGTGGGAGCTCCTCCAGACTGCCATTGCTCAGCTCCCTTGTGCTCTCCAAAGGATGGGCAACGTCCCCGCTGTGCTCCCCTGCCTGCTCGTGGCCTTTCGGTGTTAGCATGGCTGCAAAGTGCCATCCAGGCTCCAGCCCTGGTGCTGGCACCTCCTGGCTCAGTGGATTCTCGCAGGATTCCCCTTCCTGCTCCAAGCACCTTCTGCACAGTAGCTAGAGCCCTTTGCGAAGCAGTCGCAGCTCCCTGGGTACAGGAGGCTAAAATTCATGGGAATATTAATCTTATTTGGCTCCCTAGGAGCAGCCCCTGTCTCCAGCTGGCTGTGGGAGGTTGTGTGGGCTCCCAGCCCTCTCCTGCCAAGGTCACACATTAACTTGCAGTGCAGCCACCCCAACCCATTCGCATTCAGCACAGGCTCCCTGCTCCCAGCACGGCCAGGGGCTGATCTGCATCTCTGCCACAGCCTTTCGTTTTATAGTCACCTCTCCATCTTGGAAGACTCACTTTCAGATCCCTCTAGCCTATTTTTCAGAACCACCAAACACTCCCCAGCTCCACAACCCCAAGGAAACACAACAGCTCACCATCACCAAAAAGACCGGATCCCCTTTCAAGCACCCAAAAGCACTGGCAGCTTACAGAGGCATAGCTCTGCATTCACCACCTCACCCACAGGATAACCTGTTTTCGCTTGAGTTCCTGTCAACACAGCTGCAATGAAGGTACGTGGAAATAAAGATACAGACCAATAAAGATGCATCTCTTCTGGGGTGAGATAAGCTGAGGTCTGGCAAGGCGAGCCGGAGCAGCTAGTCCTGCAATGCAGCCCAAGCCAGGCTGCCAGAGCGGGAGCCTGTCTCACGAAGGAGCCTGCGGTGGCTTTGGGACCTGTGATGGCACGAGGTGGAGCAACGCTTGGGTGCTGCTGGCTGGGCACAGCAGTCTCATGGGCCAGCAGTGTGGAGGGACAGGGTCAGCGCAGCCCCCCACATAAGGGGGTCTCAGCATCACGCTCCACCATATGGCACCAAGTCCTCCACGTCACTGGAGGGGACCGTGGCCAATGCCATGGCCTGTTTGCTCGCCAGGGGATGTGCCAGTGCTGCAAAGGGCTGGTTTTAGTGTGTTTTCCCCCATCGTAAGAGTGCAGGCACGGCCAGCTGCCCCGGCTCAGCGGGGAGCAATAACCCATTAACCCACCGTGACTCAGCCATTTGTACACCCGTGGGTACGAACTGAGACCCACCACCCCACCTCTGCCCCGTGGCCACCGGATTTCACCCCGGCGTGTCGGTGTGCGACGGGGCCCAGCCGCCTCTGGCGAAAAACTCCATTGCCAATCCCAAAACATCCCATTCCCGCTGAATCCTGGCTGGAGGAGGGATGGGGGACCCAACACCCCTTCCCAGAGACCCTCATCATCCAAGGGAGCCGGGCAGCCCCGCCAGCCCCGTGCCCGCGCACCTGCCTGCTCCGGGACGTGGAAGGTGGCCACACAGCCCGGGATGGCAGAATCCGGCACGACGGAGCAGACGCCCTTCTCCTGCTCTCGGGGAACGTTTTCCCAAAAAAACAAAGACTGCGGGGGCAGCGATACCATTTGCCTCCCCCTCATTTATTTGTTCCAGAGAAGAACAGCCAAAAACCCCACCCGCTCCCCTCGCCCACCTCCCCTGCCCACGAAACGGGGACTCTCCCACTGCCTCCCCCCGGACTCCCAAGCCCCTTCTCAACACGTAGTTCAGAGAACCGATCGCGGGAAACCTTTCCAGCCTGACCTACCTGCCCTTTCCCCGCAGCCCGGTACCGGGACTCCGTCGCTCCGGGCTCCACCGACCGCTCCAGCCCCGCTCCGGCCGCCGCCGTCCCGCCCCGCTCCGGAGGAGGCGAGGGAATGGAGGCTGAGCAGGGAAAACTTTGCAAAGCGAAAGGAAAACATCCAAGCTCAGTTAGGGAAACAATTTTTTTTTTTTTCCTCTCTCTCTTTTTTTTTTTTTTTTTTTTTTTTAAATCTGCCTGCCCAGGAAACTGGAGCTGTGTCAGCCGGGGTCCTAATTACAGGCTTTTTAGCCTAAACCTACAGAGACAGCCAATGGCAGGGAATCCCAGCGGCAGGCAGGGAGGGGAAGAGCAAAGGATGGCGGAGGGGGGGGTGTACATTAACCCTACAGGGGAAAGAGCTCTAGATGACATCTGTTTTTCTCGCTACCTCTCATTTTCCGAGCGTCCGCGCCCTTCCCTCCATCTGCGGCTCAGTTCACCCTAGGTTGCCGTTTTGATGACTTTTATGATCCGCGCGGTGATTTATTTTCCTGCCTAGATCAGAAAGACTTGAAGCTTCATGAAAGAGGGGAAGTGTCATTACACCCCAATTTAGAGGTGGAGAAACTTTGGCTGGGCTCTCACAAAGGAGTTAGCCAGAGGCAAGTCAGGATGTCCTAGTTTTCGCAAGCCCTGAACACCTGACAGTCTCCTAAAAGCCATTT